ATACAGTAGATATGTGAACCAGTACAGTAGATACATGAACCAGTACAGTAGATATGTGAACCAGTACAGTAGATATGTGAACCAGTACAGAAGATATGTGAACCAATACAGTAGATATGTGAACCAGTACAGTAGATATGCGAACCAGTACAGTAGATAAGTGAACCAGTACAGTAGATACTTGAACCAGTACAGTAGATATGAGAACCAGTACAGAAGATATGTGATCCAGTACAGTAGATATGTGAACCAGTATAGTAGACATGTAAACCAGTACAGTAGATATGTGAACCAGAACAATAGATATGTGAACAAATACAGTAGATATGTGAACCAGTACAGTAGATACATGAACCAGTACAGTAGATATGTGAACCAGTACAGTAGATATGTGAACCAGTACAGAAGATATGTGAACCAATACAGTAGATATGTGAACCAGTACAGTAGATATGCGAACCAGTACAGTAGATAAGTGAACCAGTACAGTAGATACTTGAACCAGTACAGTAGATATGAGAACCAGTACAGAAGATATGTGATCCAGTACAGTAGATATGTGAACCAGTATAGTAGACATGTAAACCAGTACAGTAGATATGTGAACCAGAACAATAGATATGTGAACAAATACAGTAGATATGTGAACCAGTACAGTAGATACATGAACCAGTACAGTAGATATGTGAACCAGTACAGTAGATATGTGAACCAGTACAGAAGATATGTGAACCAATACAGTAGATATGTGAACCAGTACAGTAGATATGCGAACCAGTACAGTAGATAAGTGAACCAGTACAGTAGATACTTGAACCAGTACAGTAGATATGAGAACCAGTACAGAAGATATGTGATCCAGTACAGTAGATATGTGAACCAGTATAGTAGACATGTAAACCAGTACAGTAGATAAGTGAACAAATACAGTAGATATGTGAACCAGTATAGTAGACACGTGAACCAGAACAGTAGAAATGTGAACCAGTACAGTGGATATGTGAACCAGTATAATAGACATGTGAACCAGTATAGTAGATATGTAAACCAGTACAGTAGATAAGTGAACCAGTATAGTAGACACGTGAACCAGTACAGTAGATAAGTGAACCAGTATAGTAGACACGTGAACAAGTACAGTAGATAAGTGAACCAGTACAGTAGATATGTGAACCAGTACAGTAGATATGTGAACCAGTACAGAAGATATGTGAACCAATACAGTAGATATGTGAACCAGTACAGTAGATATGTGAACCAGAACAATAGATATGTGAACAAATACAGTAGATATGTGAACCAGTACAGTAGATAAGTGAACCAGTACAGAAGATACGTGAACCATACAGTAGATATGTGAACCAGTACAGTAGATACGTGAACCAGTACAGTAGATATGTGAACCAGTACAGTAGATATGTGAACCAGTACAGAAGATATGTGAACCAATACAGTAGATATGTGAACCAGTACAGTAGATATGTGAACCAGGACAATAGATATGTTAACAAATACAGTAGATATGTGAACCAGTACAGTAGATAAGCAAACCAGTATAGANACACTAATTGAACATTTGTCTGTATCATCCTTTGTGGATATTGTCTGTTCTGTCAACACACATATCACTTGTTTAGGATGCCACACATCAGTTCACTAATCCTTGAGTTGTTTTTTGACAGTTTTGGTCAAGCTGTTCAAACTTTCACTGACCATACCAGGAGCATCACCCACAAACTCAAAGGTTTTCTGGACCCCTGCAATAGACGAGAAAATAAGATTAAAATGTTATATGGTTCATGGGAGACAATAACAGCTTTGTAACCTTAATCATTGGGCATTTCTTATTTTAAACTGGATATGTGAACCAGTACAGTAGATATGTGAACCAGTACAGTAGATATGAGAACCAGTACAGTAGATATGAGAACCAGTACAGTAGATATGAGAACCAGAACAGTAGATATGAGAACCAGAACAGAACATATGTGAAACAGTACAGTAGATAAGTGAACCAGTACAGTAGATACTTAAACCAGTACAGTAGATATGAGAACCAGTACAGAAGATATGTGAACCAGTATAGTAGACACGTGAACCAGTACAGTAATTATGTGAACAAATACAGTAGATATGTGAACCAGTACAGTAGATAAGTGAACCAGTACAGTAGATATGTGAACCAGTATAGTAGATATGTGAACCAGTACAGGAGGTATGTGAACCAGTACAGTAGGGATGTGAACCAGTACAGTAGATATGTGAACCAATACAGTAGATATTTGAACCAGTATAGTAGATATGTGAACCAGTACAGTAGGTATGTGAACCAGTACAGTAGGGATGTGAACCAGTACAGTAGGTATGTGAACCAGTACAGTAGGGATGTGAACCAGTACAGTAGATATGTGAACCAGTATAGTAGATATGTGAACCAGTATAGTAGATATGTGAACCAGTACAGTAGGTATGTGAACCAGTACAGTAGGTATGTGAACCAGTACAGTAGATATGTGAACCAGAACAGTAGATATGTGAACCAGTACAGTAGATATGTGAACCAGAACGGTAGATATGTGAACCAGAACGGTAGATTTGTGAACCAGTACAGAAGATACGTGAACCAGTAAAGTAGATATGTGAACCAGTACAGTAGATATGTGAACCAGAACGGTAGATATGTGAATAAGTACAGAAGATACGTGAACCATACAGTAGATACATGAACCAGTACAGTAGATATGAGAACCAGTACAGAAGATATGTGAACCAGTACAGTAGATATGTGAACCATACAGTAGATATGTGAACCAGTATAGTAGATATGTGAACCAGTACAGTAGATAAGTGAACCAGTATAGTAGACACGTGAACCAGTACAGTAGATATGTGAACCAATACAGTAGATATTTGAACCAGTATAGTAGATATGTGAACCAGTACAGTAGACATGTGAACCAGTATAGTAGATATGTGAACCAGTACAGTAGACATGTGAACCAGTATAGTAGATATGTGAACCAATACAGTAGATATTTGAACCAGTATAGTAGATATGTGAACCAGTACAGTAGACATGTGAACCAGTATAGTAGATATGTGAACCAGAACAGTAGACATGTGAACCAGTATAGTAGATATGTGAACCAATACAGTAGATATGTGAACTAATACAGTAGATATTTGAACCAGTACAGTAGATATGTGAACCAATACAGTAGATATTTGAACCACAACAGTAGATATGTGAACCAGTACAGTAGATATGTGAACCAGTACAGTAGATATGTGAACCA